TTTCCCAAGAGTCTTTCTCTTCCTAGAACCACCCTCCTGGCTGTCCTGCAGCCACAACATTCTCAGGGAAAAGGGGCTGAAAGAAGCAGCATTCAGTGCTGTCCAGGGGCCACCCCTCAACACGAACGGCTGGACCTGCTTCTTCCGCTGCAATCACATGGGACAGAAGGCAGGCTCAGGACAGCCCGAGCCTGGGGCAGCCGACATTGATATGGGGACATGGGCAGAGCGGTCTCCTTTTCCCAAATCAAAGACTGGGACCAAGGCCGGGTGAAGGAGTTCCGGCCAAGCCCAGATGGCAGGTACTGTGTGATAGACAAGTCCAGTTGCAGAAATAGGGTGTCCCCAGAAAATGTATACATGCTTTAACAGAGGATATCTCAATTGATGTTTCTTTCTTTTCAGATTTAACCCATTGGAATTACTAATCACTCAAAGTGTGCCCGACCATCATGGCTCAGTGGTTGACTGTTGACCTATGAACCAGGAGGTCAGGGTTCCATTCCCCATCAGGGCACAGGCCCTGATTGTGAGCTCAATCCCCAGTGCAGAAGGCAGCCAATCAATGATTCTCTCTCAACGTTGATGTTTCTATTTCTCTCTCCCTCTCCCTTCCTCTCTAAAATCAATAAAAGTATATTAAAAAAAAATAATTATTCAAGGTGTGTATACATTTTGGGGGACACATATTTGTACCTATTACTGTGGATACCTGTTGGCAGTTCTAGAACATTCTGATGGTTTATCGAGACAACAGGTTGGAATATTTTGAACTGTGGCTACACCAGAATAGCCAGGGAGGACGATGACCATGGAGAGGCCCGCCTCCTGTCTCAAGGCAGCCTTTACTCCTGTCTGGACAGGTGAGCAGGGTAGGTTGGGAGACCAGGCTTTCTCGGGATGGGAGGGGTTTGAGGAAGCCAAGTGAGTTTACCAGTGAGATGGTGTCTGTCCCGTGGGTTTTGCAGACTGAAATGTCCTCAGAATTAGATCACCTGCCTACGTCACACATATCTCAGTGGGTGCTTGCCCTGGGCAGGCCCACGTGGGAGACACCTGTATGGACAGGTGCTCATATAACAGTACTAATATGTGTTCTGCCCTGCCCTTCCGAGCCCAGGTGGCCAATGGCGCATCTGGCACATCGCCGTGTATGACCATGGGACCGTGGCCCGATCCCTGCCGGTCAGTGGCCCATGTGCACTGCAGTAGTGATCCCTGTTTTGTGTCAGTTTATCAGGTGGGAGAGAAACAGCCCATGGTGGGGGTAAGAGGGTCCGAGCAGTGAGAAGGAAACAGCCTTACGTACTGGACTTGCATGAATCCTTCGTTGGGCTTGTGCTTCTGCCCTCCGACAGGCGCACCGCAGTCGATACAGGAACTCTGCTCCATGGGTCGGCCGCACTGGGGAGAGGCGGGTGTCAGCTCAGGGCATGGGCACCATGGTGGGGGGGAGCGGGGAGGGCTGGCAGGCCTACTCAGCACTGGGGCTTAGAGCCATGCGTCTCTCTCTCCTCCCCCTCGCCCCCCTCTCTGCCCACCTCTCCTCTCTGGGCTAGTAACCAGCTTCTGAGCCGGTCACCACTTTGCCGTCACGTGTCCCTGAGCTCATGCTGCGGGGCCACAGAGGGTGGCTGGTGGTGGTTCCTAACCTGCAGCCATGCTGTCTCCCAGGGACCTGTAGCATCTCTGGGTGATGCACCGGGGAATCGAGGTGCTCCTGGCAGCTGGGGAGCAGGGCTAGGGATGCTGCCCAGGATGCCCCGATAAAGACAGTCACAAGGTACCGAGGCTGGAGCCTGACTGGACACCCTCAGCTCCATGCAGAAGTTCAGTTGGAGCCTGGAGCAGCCCTCAGAGGCACCTGTGTTCCCTGGGAGGTCAAGACTTTCCTTCTCCTCCTCCTCCATGTCCCCTCAGACCTGAAGAACACACGCTTCTTGAGCCCCCGAAACCCTGCTCCCAACACCCAGACTCACCTCCCCGACAC